ACCTTGAAATTTTTGTCTTTTTTATTATAGTATTTTATTTTGGACTATAAAAGGGGCTGCCTCAGTCAAAGGTTACAAACCATATTGAACCAGAAATCATTCTTTTTGAATATTTTTTATTTACTATAAACTTGGAAGTATCTGCCAATCTTGTTCAAATACTTGATAATTCAGAAAGATATTATGCAATAGTGATGGTACTGTTCCATTATATTATATCCTAATCACAGCAAAGTTCTCACATATTTTTCTAAATTACCTGAAGCTTATCTTGCATCTTGTTATTTCCTCTGTATCTACAGCTATTTCCATTAAATAGCCAAAAAAAAGAAAAAAAAAAAAAAAGAAAGCTATGTTGTATTTGCTATCTCTCAGCACACTTAAATAGAACTGTTAAGTAGAACCTAGTATAAAAGGAGTTAGTCATATTCCTTAGATGTTTTATAACATACAACTTGGGAGCATGGATATTCAGTAGATTATAAATAAGTTAGTTTGTTGGATCTTTATTTTTACTGAATTCTTTTGGAAGCAGTTCATTATAAATAAAAGAAGGTAAATAATTTAAGTAATTTTAGAATATATTCATTTTTTACTATAAATTGACAATATAAATTGATTTAAATAGACATTTCAGTCATTGATTCTAAAATTTGAACTAATGCAATAGATGGAATTCAGCTGCCCAAGCAAGCTTCTAGGGTTTGATTATTCAACTGATTAAGATGCTATTTGTCAACTCTAGTTTACCACCCCTTTTAATTATATAGATAATCAAACTAAGAACTGCTAATTCTGTCTCCTAACTATTAATTGATTGTAATTACCTACAGATTAAAACTGCATGTGCAATTAACTCAAAGAATTAATTGATAGAAAGGAGTTGATAAAAGGGAAACGGAACGGGCTTGGCATAAAAAAGGCTCTAAGGGCACAGGACCACTGAACCCACTAGTGTCTTGGGCTCTGTCACATCCTCATAAAGATACATCTTGCTTGCATCTGGACTTTGGCTCTGTTGGAGGCAGTTGCTTTGATTATTTCTTACGGACATTTGGTTTCTTGGTTGACTGAAACAGTATAATTGAAAAGTTTAAACTCCTATTGTCTTTGGGTTTTGTACTGATATTCGGACAGTTTGGACAAGTCTGCTTTAGTTATTTCCGACTCTGTGCAACCCTATGGACTGTAGTCCAGCAGGCTCCTTTGTCCATGGAATTCACCAGGGAAGAATACTGGAGTGGGTTGCCATGACCTCCTTCACGTGATCTCCCCAACCCGGGGATCGAGCTCATGTCTTCTGCATTGCAGGCAGATTCTTTACCACTGAACCACCAGGGAAGCCCCTGGGGACAAATCTGTCCATTTGCAATGTGAAGGAAATGCTTGTCACTGCAGAGATCATGGAAAAATGATGAATGTTTTAACTAGCTAGAGATTTTTTCTTATTTTCTCCCTATTTCCCATTTTATTTCTTCATTCTCTTGGTTATATCACTGGATGCAATCTTATCAGTTTTCTGTGAGTCATCTAGGTAATTTAGGTTTCTAAAATAATTATGCTTATTAGATTTTAATAGTATCTCTCACCTGTGTAAATAATTGGCTTATTGTTAACTACATGAATTTGAATGAAAATGGGAAATGAAATAAAAAGCCACCCCCAGCTGATACATATTTGAAATCTATTACCATTATACACATCAAGATAAACATCAAGAGAGAGAAGATGATCTGGTGAAAAATACTTGGCCCTGAAAAAAAAAATAGAATTTTAAAAGTCCCATTTTAAAGACTCTTCTATTGAATTAGATGTTTATGTCGGATGGGACCTTCCACTCTTAGCAGTTTATTGATGGCCTTTCAGCCAATGCCAGGTCAGCCCAGGAGCACATACTGAACTTATTTTTGGGGCACAGTGTTGTATTCAATGTTATGGAGAATACAAACCAAGTGAAAGACTCTCAAGTCTAGATAGGGAGATGAGATGCGAAGAAATCAACAAAATAACATGAACTAGTGGTATAAACATTTTCAAAGGCCTAAATAACTATTGAGGAAATGTAAAGACAGAAGACATTGGTATGGATATTTGACAGTTTTTTTTTTTTTTTAATGTTCAGATTTAGCTGCTATTTAGCTAATAATGGGCTTCCCCGCTGGCTCAGACAGTAAAGAATCTGCCTGCAATGCAGGAGATCAGGGTTTGGTCCCTGAATTGGGAAGATCCCTTAAAGAAAGGAATGACTACCCACTCCAATATTCTTGACTGGAGAATTCCATGGACAGAGGAGCCTGGAGGGCTATAGTCATTGGGGTCACAAACAGTTTGATACGACTAAGCAACTAACAATTAGCTAATAATTCCTTGTTAACCTGATGGGGGACTTCCCTGGTAGCTCAGCCAGAAAAGAATCTGCCTGCAACGTGGGAGACCTGGGTTCTATCCCTTGGCTGGGAATGTCTCCTGGAGGAGTGCATGGCAACCCACTACAGTATTCTTGCCTGGAAAACCAGGAGTTGGACATGACTGTGTGACTAAGCACACACACATAACTTGATGGGACCATTTGGCTTCTTTTCAAATATCGTTATTGCATTTAGCCTGCTGCTGCTGCTGCTAAGTTGCTTCAGTCGTGTCCAACTCTGTGCGACCCCATAGAAGGCAGCCCACCAGTCTCCGCCGTCCTTGGGATTCTCCAGGCAAGAACACTGGAGTGGGTTGCCATTTCCTTCTCCAATGCATGAAAGTCAAAAGTGAAAGTGAAGTCGCTCAGTCGTGTCTGACTCTTTGTGACCCCATGGACTGCAGCCTACCAGGCTCCTCCATCCATGGGATTTTCCAGGCACGAGTACTGGAGTGGGGTGCCATTGCCTTCTCTGATTGCATTTAGCCTACATTTGTTTAATTTCAGAGTATTTCATTCTTGCTGGCTGATGGTACTGATAAAATTAATTTTTTTCATATGTTAATGTACAGCCTACTCTTATGCTGTCTCTCTTTCATACATGCACCCTAGAATTCAGAATCTTCACTTCCCTGTGGCATTACCTTTGAAGCTTATTGGCTCTGTGAAGGGTTTGTGAAGGCTTAGTATGACGTATGACTTCAGTCTTCTTCAAACTATCAGCTTATAACTTTCAACTGACTTTGTGGAATAAACTGGAATTTGTTGCATGTCACCTTCTGTGCCTGGCTTCTTAGGAGGAGTCATTAGCATAGATCAGTGTGTGAATGATCACCTTGAGGATTTTAGTGGAGGCTTTACTGCTTCCTGAAGTGGAAAAGTTATAGCTATATTTTCCAGTGTGATACCTGTATACTGAAGAAAATAATGTATGACTTCTCGATTACATGGATCTGTTTTGTGGGTAGACAAGATAAAATATTTGAAATGCTCTGGAATCTCTTAGAAAAATGTCATACAGCATTGAGTTTCATATTTACCTGTGCTCCTCAGTAATCAGGAAGATTCTCTTTTCCCTGCAAGATTTAACTTCATGAGGCTAATTCTAGTTTATCAGTGTTTACATAGTGACTTTAATCATATTACTAAGGAACCAGAATCATAGAGCAATTCCAAGTAAGATATTGTCCTTGCCCCAGAAGTGTTTATACATTTTAAAAGGAGATTGGAAAGAGACGCTTTGTTATCTAAAAGTAAGAATATTTACTGTCGAAGTGCATTGAAGCAAGTGGGTGGAATAGAAATAGTGCTAATGAATTAAAGAATACTTCAAATTAGTCAACAAGGCTTCATAAGAAATGTGGGGGCTTACACATCTCAATAACTCTTATGCTGTCCTTTTATGTCCCTCTGAATTTATAAAAGTTCCCAAGTAAAGTATGATGTGTATGGCCTTTTCTTTGCTATACTCTTTTCAGATAATATTTTCAGATTCTCTATGGTCTACTCATTATTGGCATTGCTTCCATTAAAGAAATTCATTTCTTCATATTGTGTTATGAATGAAATATATCATTTATATGTTGCCTCTCCTAGAGACTTTTCCTTTTTGATAGAGGGCAGAGACTGACTGAAATGGAGGAAATACATGCAAAATTAAGATGCGGTAGGATGTATGTGTGTGTATACTGATTAGAATGTCTCTGAGATAATATCACATATTATTATTATATATTGCTATTCTTCCTCCCAATATATAGGGCACTTAATTTATGGTCCTGTAAATAAATTGAAGCCATGAAATGAGAGACTGCATTACTTCTGATTTTTCTCTAAATTTATATGGAACTAACCGGTCCATGGAGGACTCTCTTAAATTGAAAGTTTCAGTAAAGAGTATATGTATATGAAGAAGTATTAGAAAGAAAATTGGAAATGTAAAACTAGTTTGATTCATTTGGATGGCAGGATTAAATTGTATTTCTGAGAAATAAGTGAACAAATAAATCTTGAATCTCCGCTTCTTTATTAAAAATTGTGTGCAGAAATCCTACGTAATAACTACTATGAGGAGAAATATGCGGGTATATACTGGTTCACCTTTTACTCTTCCAACCTATTTACCTTAAATACTTTCAATAATTTTATTTGCTACACAGTATCAAAAGTTCTGCCTTCAAATAATTCTAAATTCTCTTTTAAAGGGCTTATGTAACAGGGAAGGTTTTCTTTTGTTTTTGTTAAGTGCTATTCACAAATATGATTTTGCTTTAAGCCTCTCTTACAAAAGAAGTCAGTGTACTTGAAGAGTCAGAAGAATGAACCTGTTAGTTTTCTGAGGGGCACCCTGCATGTAATAAAATCACGAGAGCGTCATGGTGTAAGGAAGCCTATTAATTGAAGCCTCTCTCTCTGCATTGCTATCACTTCTTCATCTTACCATGATTAGATGACAAGATATAATTGTAATACAGAATAGTGGGGCTATAAAGATGATTTACTTTCATTTTTGTAACACTAAGCAGTATGATCACTGTGTATTTTTCCTGAATAAATATTCTTTTAACCTGCATTGATATTTTCAACAGACAGAACATTCTATGATTGGAGAGGATCTGTGTCAAAAAGGATCTCCCGTTTGACTCCTGATTCCAGTTGGCCTAGTTTCTCTGGATCATCATTAGCATTTCAGGATTATTCTAGTGTAAGTATTTGTAAAACCTGACACAGAGTTGAATTACCATTGTGTTTACTGGCAAATGATTGAGTTAATTTTGATATATCATGTATGATGTTACTATGAGCATAATTCATTCCTAAAATGATTCCCCATTGAAATTCAATTTTTTTTCCTGAAGTAATGCTTTTGTTATTTTGTGTCAATCTTGCTGATTACCTTAACTCCTAAATATGTGTATTAGTTTTTGTTTCACGGGTGCTAATAGCCAAAGTGCTCGTCACAGTGGTTTTCCCTAAATGTGATAGCAACTATTTTTGTAATGGTAACTAAGTTATCAGGAAAATACAGTGGAGGCCAGAGGAGAAAAAAATGTTTGTAAGAAGTGTGGCACTAAGAAGTTTTAAAAATCCAAGCACACTGTTGTAGCCACATACTGATGGTTTATGAGTGAGGTTTCTCTAAACTGAGATATGGGAATCTGTGACTTGAAGATGGAATCCAGATTTCACATTAAGTTCACATGCTTATCAGGGTAAGTCCTGTGATGTCTCTATGTAAATAGTGAAAGTAACTCATATGTTCTAAAATTTTTAGCAATGATTTCTTAAGACTGCAAAATGCCATTTAATAACATGTATGTCACATAGTGTCTGTATAGGTGTCTGAGTTTCTTACATCTCCTGTATGTTCTGCTTTGTATGTGACTGTGTCTGTCTCATCCTTTCTTTGCCTTTTTTTCATATCATTAATTATTTTTGTTTTTGACTCATCATTTGTATTAGTGTTCTTGGGTTGCCATAACAAAATGCCATAGACCAGGTGGCTTAAACAACAGAAATTTATTTCTCAAAGTCCTGAAGACTGGAAGTCCAGGGTCAAGGTGCCAGCAGGGTGGTTTTCTCCTGTGGCTTCTTGCTCCTTAACTCCAGAGAGCTGCCTCCTTGCCGTGTCCTCACATGGCCTTTCCAGTGTGTGTGTCTAGTGTTTCTCTCTCCCTTATAAGTATGCTAGTCATATTAGATTAATGCCCTACCCCAATGAGCTCATTTAACCTAATTACCTCTCCATGGATAGTATCTCCAAATACAGTTACATTGGGGCTTAAGGATTCATATGAATTGTGGGGAGACACAGTTCAGTCCATAACACCATTAGATAGCTGATAGCAATTATTTTTCTTGTCTGTTGAATAGCTTGTTACCTAGTATTTTTTAAAAAATCTTGACTTTCTATGTTTTTCCTGTAAACCAAAACTTTTCAATTATGTAATACTTCTACTACTAAATTCTTTGTAAGTAAATACACTAAAAGTCAACCATTACATCCTTGTTTTAGATAAGGACATAATATGAATATTATTAAGGAAAATTATATGAGTTTAGATGAGGAAATTATATGAATATTATTTCCTGAAACTCAAAGTTGTTGTAATCTATGAATACTGTTCTCAGAATATATTAATTAAATATAGAAAAAATGATTACCTCCAGCTAATGGGATGTATATTTCTAATTCATACATGTCCTTAGCAAAAGTAACACCCATAGATGGTTGTTTTCATTATTTTCCAGTAAAGGGGAATAGATGAACTATTGTTTCTATGCCTGCGAGTTCTATGCTATTTTACATTAATAATTTAGAGATTGCTCCTAGCTAAGTGAGGAATGATATTTAAATATATCACTTTGGGGAGTAAATCTGGCGAGAGTAGACATGACTGGAGAGCTCCCAAGTGCGAGACTGGGGATGCTCACTCATTGCTGACTGGGGAATTAGGAGTGCAAAGGGCTACAGACCACGGTTTTGAATGATGGATGGTGCTTTGGATATGTGTACCTGCCTAAAGAATTTAGGGTAGACTAGAGTGGAGACTGGGTGAGCATTAAGAGGCCTGTCACATCAGTCCAGTTAGAGGCTTATCTTACCCTTGCAAACCTATTATGTTGGGTGTAGGGTGGGAATGGATAAGAGAGAGTAAGATTGAAATTTTCAAATTATTTTCCTTCAGCTCACTGCACCTTTAGTTTTCACCATCAGAAGTCTAGCTTTTTTTTTTTTAAGTAAGTTTTCTCCTGTCATTTATTCTTTAAAATAACAACAGCTCTAAAAGGGGTGAAACACCAAGTTCTAAATTAAGCTTTTTTCCCTTCTCTTTTTATTGTGGTAAACTATTCATAAGATAAAATTTATCATTTTAACAGTTTCAAGTGTACATACAGTAAGTATACTCACTTTGCTATGTAACCGTTACTACCATCCATTTCCTGAACATCTTTATCTTTCCAAACTAAAACTCTGTACCCATTGAACACTAATTCCTTGTTCTTCCTTTCCGCCATCTCCTGGCAACAAATATTCTACTTTCTTGTGATTGGTTTGTCTCACTTATAATGTCTTCAGAGTTCATCCATGTTGTATCATGTGTCAGAATTTCCTTTTTACAAAAGGCTGAAAAATATTCTGTTACATATGTGCTATATTTTGTTTATCCATTCATCTGATCGTGGACACTTGGTGCTTCTACCATTTGAATCTTGCAAATAATTACACTATGAGCATGGATGTACAAATATTGTTTGAGTCCTTTCTTTCATGTCTTTTGGGTATATATCCAGGAGTGGAATTGCTAAACCATATGGACTTCCCTGGTAGCTCAGTGCTAAAGAACTTGCCAGCAGCACAGGAGATCGGGGCTCGATCCCTGGGTCCTCCCTGGGTCGGGAAGATCCCTGGAGGAGGGAATGGCAACCCACCCCAGTACTCTTGCCTGGAGACTCCCACGGACGGAGGAGCCTGGTGGGCTACGGTTCATGGGGTCACATACAGTTGGACTCGACTGAAGCGACTAAGCAGCAGCAGCATTGTATCCCTGTGTTTAATATTTTGAGGAATCACTACACTATATTTAGTACACTGGCTACCCATTTTACATTCACTCTAGTAATGTGCCTGTGTTGCAGTTTCTCCACATTTTCATCAGCACTTATTATATTTTATGTTTTCCTAATACATCCTAATGGGTGTGAAGTGTTAAGTGATCTTGATGTGAGTTTGTTCAATCAGGTCCAGAAGACAGAAAGGAACTAGAAAAATTGAGAATGTAGAAAGAAGCTTGCATTGTTTAGGAGGAGTGATGACAGGGTACAGAAAAGCCTGTATTTGAATTTGTGGGAGGAGAGAAAAATATAACACATTTTGCTTTCAAAACACTCTGTAGAGGTTAGTTCCTCTCAGAATTTTAATTCTCTCAAATAAGAAAGTTAATGTGGATATACTTACTTTAGGCTAAAAGAAAATATCCCCTTTAAGCCTAAAGTTTTAATTTTCTTTTTAGAGTATTTTGTATCCTATATGTTTTTAGTTCTAATTAGATGACAATACAATAACATTATATGTCCTTAGCTTTAATGTTTCATTTCTGCAATTGCAGACTTATTGTATTAGAATTTCCAGTTATTTTAAACAATGGCATATAGGTTCCCAAACTTCTTTGCACTAAGTTAAAGATGCTGTCTGCAGTTCTGAGATATTTATACTCTTAATTATCTTGAAAGATAATATTTATCCAAATAAGTGAACTTTGTCCAAATTATTGACCTGTCAATAAGATCCCCTGCATAACATAAAAATGTGGTATTACATTGCAATAATGTAGGAGAGACTACCATCTCCAACTTTGTTGCTGCAATTTCATTTCACAACTTTTCTTTACAAGGTTTGCTAACTTTATGATAATGTATGAAGCAATCTGGAAACCCACAATCTGAAGAAAGGTAAGTGTGGAAAACAACCCTGGTATTTATCAAAATTCTGAGATGAGAAATTAATATCAATAGTGCTCTTAAAAAATCTTGAATAAAAACAAATATTGACCAAAAATTGTATAAGAAGTTAATTTCTAGTTAATATTTAGAAACACAGGAGAGTGAAGAACTTAAAAATTTTTATTGGAGTCTGGGCGCTTTACAGTGTTGTGTTCATTTCAGCTGAGCAGTGCGGTGAATCAGCTCGATGTATACCTGTATCCCCTCCTCTTGGACCTCCTGCTCACCAACCCGCACCCGCACCCACACCCCACCCCGGGTCCCCACAGACCATGGCGCTGAGCTCCCTCCGCTGTGGAGCAGCTTCCCACCAGCTGTCTAGTTTACACTCGGTGGAGCGTATAGACGTCAATCCCAGCCTCCCAGGTCACCCCACTGCCCCGCCCCACCGTGTCAACAGGGCTGTTCTCTCTGTGTCTCTGTACTCCTGCCCTGACAGTGCGTTCATCTGTTCCATTTTTCTGGATTCCACATATATGGGTTAATATGCAATATTTGCTTTTCTCTTTCTGACTTACTTCACTCTTTATGGCAGTCTCCAGGTCCAACCATGTCTCTTACAAGCAACAAGGCAGAACTCTCCTCAGTGAGTGGCTAATTTACAATTACGTCACTGTGGCTGTGGGAGCAGAAGGTTCTCTGATGCGAACTCCGCCATTTGATGGTACTCTAGAGTGAGGATGAGATAAGCAAGGGAATGCCCGGGCGTGTGGGCTTCTGTACTTACTGCAGTGGTGACAAGGTGCAGGGATGGAGGAGCACAGGGGAGAGAACAGATGTGGTTGTCGGCATGGAAGAGCAGGGTGCATTTCAGGAAGTAAAAGAAATTGAATGTGGTAAAAGCATAACATTCAAGCGAGAAGGTGACAAGAAAATGAAGATTTAAGAAAAGTCCCATCATCCTGAAGTGCCTTCCTTAGCGCCTTCCATAGGATATCGTTTGATCCGTTTATTTCTTTTTTAAAATTAATTAATTTTTAATTTATTTATTTTAGTTGGAAGCTAATTACTTTCCAATATTGTAGTGGTTTTTGCCATACATTGACATGAATCAGCCACAGGTGCACATGTGTCCCGATCCTGAACCCTCCTCCCACCTCCCTCCCCGCCCCATCCCTCAGCGTCATCCCAGTGCACCAGCCCTGAGCACCCCATCTCATGCATCCTACCTGGACTGGCAATCTGTTTCATATGATAATC